GAAAAGATCCGGTCAAAGGACCTGTTTTTAGATCTCTTGTGGACAAGTCACGAAAAGTAGGAGAATCCGCGACAGGCCACATCAGGTCAATTTTTCATCGCCGACATCACCGTGTTACTTATGTAATGTTATGACTGCTTAAATTTTTATCTTAGTGCTTTTTCTTAGTGTCTTGTGCACGCAAAAGTTTGTTACGAAGTTATTTCAGAGACCGTAATATAATTTAATCATTTAATGTAACATTTCTAGCAGTGTATACGCTCTTTTCTCCTATAGAATTAGGTAATACTGTACTAATGGTAGTAGCAGCTGATAAAAACTGTAAAGAACGTCCGCATTCAGCAACATGTTCCTGGAGATTATACTTTTTCTTGCCCTTCTGGCTCTCCTGACAATTTCTTCAAGGAAGCCGACGCGGATGCCACAAGGTAAGTGAAATATCCTCACACCTATAAAACCAATAGTAATACTATAGAAAATTTTACAGTACATACTAAGAGATTAGTCGACGATCATACAGAGCCATGTTTGAAATTGATTGATGAAATCCATAAATATTTTCTGCAATGCAATGGCTCCTCAATATTTTTATGTTCGTATCATCCAAAGTTAGTATTAGTATCCGATGATCATTCAGTTGTCACTCACAAAAGCAGAGCAATTGGTGTAATTCACGTTAAATCATCTAACAGGAACGTTCGGATGGCCGATTTTAGGAGAGCTGCCGCCACGTTCAATTCACATCACCAAACATCTGAAGAACCTCAAGCAGAAGCGAGGACCCATTTTCACGTGGGTTCTATTTTTTGATAACCGCTTAAAGAGGCCAATCTAATGAAAAAAATCCAATGAAAAGAGGCCAAAATTCCAATGTACTGAAAAACAAAATAACTTTAATTTCCCTCTATTCTTTTACTTAATTTTGCAGCCAAGTGCTCCTAATCCTCAGATAGCATGACGCATGCACGATTGTACATAAGATGAATGCAGATCGTTAGTCTCACTTATGATCTTCACGACTTCAGTGATCAATTTCAACGGCAATAGCATTAAAGGCACCACCGATGTCGGGAACTAACCATGAAGATATGACTTCTCCATTGTAGCTGATGGTTTTAAATGTCGCCCGTCAGAACGAAATGGGGTTCTCATCGAATGGTGGTCGTCACCGACTACCACCTCATCAAGAAGGCGTTCAACCATCCCGATATTCAAGGGCGTCCTGCATTCTTTACCTTTGAATTATTCAGCCACTTCAAAAATGCTGGTAAATTAACTGTGTTTAATCTAAAATAGAGTAGCTTTTTGGGATTCGTTACAGATCAAATTGAACTAGAGTGATTTTATTGACAATATGTTCTTGATAGATGTTGCCGGACTTTAGAACTTTCGTTTTGGCAAAATTATTATGTGAATAAATTTGTTAGAGTGAGCAGTATGTGATATAGAACATATGGCACTTTCAACGATCTTACTGCCATGATCACTATAATGATCATGCATGCAGCTGATATATGAATACAATGTAACCAACTATCCATCGTAATATTTACATTCATGAAAATTTTCTTCCAACAATTTTTGCTTAAAAAAAAACAGTTTTTTTCCGTCGAAACAAAAACCTGGGTTTTTTTATTTTAAAAATTAATCAGATTTATAAATAGAGCTGTTGAATTCAACTATTCAGTGAAGAAGAATTTAGAGGTCAACCAAATTTTTGATATTGTGTGCTATTGATAGCTTTTCAACTCATACCGGTCAATGTTTATGTTTCAGGTTTAGTCAGCAGCCATGGTTCAGTGTGGACCGAGAACCGGCTGTTCATGTTGCGCCACTTGCGTGATCTCGGCATGGGCAAAACAGCTCTCGAGGACTCCATTCAACAAGAGGCCGAGATGCTGGTGGATCACTTGGATAAAACCTGCGTCGGCAAGCCGGCCGTCATGGATCACTCCATCAACTGTGCTGTGGTCAACGTCATCTGGCAAATGCTCGCAAGTAAAATCAATATTCAGGAAATTATCGATCAATTAGAATAAGAAAGCTGTTAATATTGCACGATGTGGGCTAATTCGATGGGCAATTTTGGCTCTCAAGTCTCATTTCTTACAAGATTCGATGTGAATCATTAATTGGGATTGAAATCGAATTTCGATATCGCAATAAACAGAAATCAACTGTTGTAAAGTACGAAACAAAATCATCTTTTGTATCGCCAAATAATTTTACAATTTCCTTCGTACATGTATTGAACACTGTATACGGTTTAGGAAGACTATTCAGTGCTTACCTCACTTGAACAACGTTCGGAAGGGAAATGACGTGTTTGGAGAGAAGAACAGTTATAGCTGTAGCACCGTCATGGTCTTAATCGGAGAAGTGACACAGTCATAGTCTTAGACAAAAAGCTACATGATATAATTTTGAGTTTAAAACATAGTACACATAACATAATCTAATACATAATATACAGCAACACAATCTAGATATATGTTATTGTGTTTTATAAACAAATGTGGTTGATTCCAGGCAAGCGCTACGGGTTGAATGATGAGGTGATGGTGCGGTGTAGTACCAGGTTTGAAGAAGAATTGGCCATTTGCCAGGGTCCAATGTTCCTTGTCAACGTGTTCCCTTGGCTGGCAAAACTACTGCCTTCCATCATATTGAATAAAGTTTTGCAAGCTGAGATCCTCTACAGGAATCGAGATGAAATCCACTTGATGTTCCAAGTGAGTGTTATCAATAATCATATCACGTGTCTCACTAAACGATGTTGTTAAATACAATGTCGACCTTTTGAAGGTTTGTACGAATTACTATTTAGATGATAAATTATTAAGTTAGACCACTGAAACTTAAGACCTATGCTTACCCAAGCAGATGGCATATCAAATGGTTGATACTTGTAATCATGGCCACGCAGAGAGGAAAGTTACAACAAATACTCTACAGTCCTAGTTTCGTCTGCCTTTCTTTAATGTATTTCCCAAAAATTTACGGTTACAAATTTATAATACACAATTTTCATTGATAACGTGGGATTTTCCCTCGCTCCGCAGCAAGTTATTGACGATCACATGGCGACCCTTGACCCCAACAACCCTCGTGACGTCATCGACCAGCTGCTGCTGGAGCGCGCCCACAGAGACGCCCCGGACTACCTAACTCCGGAAGACGGTAGCGGTTCAACTTATATTGTTTTTAAAACTCGAATAATACGAATGCATACAGGACCTTTGATTGATTGCTAGATTTTGTAAATATTAATTGTTAATTGTGCTTGTAAACTATGTCCAATGATTGTATGTGACTGGTTGCTAAAAACATGAGTGAGGAACGACGCACTTTGTTCTTCTGAGGATAGAACTATAAAATCTTGTGTCTCAATACATCTCTGTTTTTATACGATGACAAATTAATTAACTTAATTCCAAACCATGAAGGCATCATAAATACATATGCAACCTCTTAACCAGCATCCTATTCATAATAATCAACCGAATGTATTTCGATATTCTTTCGCGCACACTCATCAGTCGCTATTTTCTCAGGCATTCATGGAAACTGTATTCTGTGAAACAATTACAACAATAAAACTATTTCATTCGTTTATTGTCAGCAGAATTGGATTTCAAAAGCCTTATGGGGGACATGTTTTTTGCCGGTTCAGAAACTACCACAACAACTCTTCGATGGATGATACTTTACATGGCCATCAACACTGAGGTGGAGTTTTCTTTCCAATTAAGTACGCGTAGCGTCCTAAGTACACAGAGCGGAAAAATAAAGCTGTGCCAATAGATATTTGCTGGGATTTGAAGCTGACGTAATTGGCTCGGGCATGGTTCCTCCATTTGGTTTCTAATTCTTACATTTCAATTCTCCGGGAGTTCAGCATGATTGTTTTAGGACATTAGGAAAGTTTTCTATATAATTAAACTAAGGATTATGACGGTAACATGTTTAGTGAATAACTGGCAAGTTATCATGATTGATATTAACTGAAATTTACTGAGTGAATGGCCCTCCACCATTGGAGTGATATAAAGATATATATATATATATATATTAAATATATACTATACATAGCATGTGTACTCACATCTATCTATATATGAAGATGTTATATTTTTTGCAGATTCAAGCTAAAGTTCACAAATGTCTGGACGAAGTTGTACCTAAAGACCGTCTGCCATCACTGAACGAGAGAAATCAGTGAGAATTAAGGACCTTCAGGAGCTTTTTATTGTGGTTGATGCAAAGTAGTTTTGATTTATATACATATATTCCCCTCAAGGGGGAGTTCTGACGTGTGTCTGTGCTCGTCTTTTCACCTGTCCCTCTTTATCACTTCGTCTCTTTGAGATGCTAACGCTGCTTCAGCCAGCTTCAGCGGGCTGAACATCAGAGACCTTCCACCCCTTGTGGGCGACGATTAATTTGAGATTTATGAATAATTGAGACCTTCCGCCTCGCTGGCGATGTTATATTATGACCTTCGGTACGAAATAGCTTGATAGCTGAAACGCTGGTAAACCATTATACCACTACAGTACTACTACTACTACTTTGATTTATCTATCATTATAAGAACAAGACCTATAGTACTTTTGTAGGCGGAGAACTAGTTTGGAGCTAGTCGAGTGATAGCCTCTAATGTAATGATGGACTTCAAGAAAATGTGAGTGGCGGTAGAAATGTTTCGAAGTTCTAATTACGGATGGTCTTCAGGAGCCGAGTTTATAATTGTATGCAAACCTTGGACACGAAACTTTGCTCTCAGTACCGATACTAAAGACTTTTTTTGCGCTTTGTTTGAGAAGACGTGGCATTCTGATATCAGTAGTGAGTACATATAATCTATTAAACTATCACATCATGCACAAACTTATGAACAAGTCATTCCGTGGCTAATATTTATTTTTGGAAGCACCATTATATAATTTTACTTATCTTATGAGCGCTAATAGTTTATTACATCTGTATGCTTCCGGCAGACTGCAGTACGTTGACGCCGTGCTGTTGGAGGTCATGAGAGTGAGTTCACTCGCACCCATCAGTTTACTACACGCAACTACCGAGGGCGTTACTTTTGAAGGTTATGACATACCCAAGGTAAATTTAGTAGAATTCCCCAAATATTATTATTCATCGCCTGGATATCAGTACGCTAATGCTTTTGTTTGAAGTTCACAAATCGAGGAATGCGGTTGATTATAACATTAGTGCTATAAAGCAATAAAATAAATGCGAAGAGAAGAATGATGGTCGACATAATAATTCACGTGGCAGGGCACGGTGGTTCTCGCTTGTGCCGAAATGTGCCATCGTGATCCGGCTTATTGGAAGCATCCTGACAAGTTCTATCCGGAACACTTCCTCGACGACGAAGGGAAACTGGACGGGAAAAAAGAAGGATTTCTGCCTTTCTCAATCGGTAGCTGATTTAGTTCTAAGTCAAATTTATTTTCCAATATTGTTAGTTCATTATTAACATTCTATACATTAATTCGGTCAAAAAAGTTCCTAACATGCTTTGCTGTTACACGGGCTGTCTGGTTGATTTATCTCAGGACGGCGCCAGTGTCTCGGGGAGTCTCTGGCTCGCATGGAGCTCTACCTCTTCTCGACGGCCATCTTGCAGCGCTTCACCATAGAGCCGCCGGAGGGCGTCACGCTCTCGACGGAAACAGATCCGTCTCAAATTGTAACTAACGTACCACTGCCTTATAAAGTCATCTTGAAAAGAAGAATTTAGCGTCGAGTTTTGGTCTGACGCTGTCGACTTGACCGAAGTAACCGACACGGTCAGTTCGCGAGTTGCTGGACTGGCTATGAGGCATTACTCCGTCATATTGGTTCGATGCAACTACATGTAGGTTTTCTTTTGCAAATCAAGTAGCTCACCATGTTTAATTCATTTGTGTAAATATTCTAAAAAGCAGAATGGCCCAGTGGTTACGGTTCACAGTACCATGATTTGAAGGTTGATTTGCGGGTTCGAAACCCCAGCAAGCAAGCTGCAACAGATCTTTGATTTCTAGAATCGGTGACAGGCTAGGTTTAGCCCAGTGTTTCCCAAACTTTTGTTTGCAGGCTGGGCCCTCATGGCTCCCCAGTGAATTCCAAGCACCCTGTCACAGACATATAATATTCACATAGCGAAAGAAAACACAATAAGCCAGTTTTTAATATTTTAAAAAATTTACACTAGAAACCCAGGAGAGGTTAAAAAAACAGATCTGGGTGGAGAAACCCATCGCTGGGAGCCGTGTGCTGCATGTGTTGTGTAAAAAATCGTCAAACGTTCGAACTTCCGACTGCCGCCCCTCTACCCGCTTCTTCCTCACCCAGATCTCTTCACCACCCTTCTTCCGCCCCCAGATCTTTCCACCACCCCCAGGGTCATTGATCTTTCCACCACCAACCCATGACAAGGTCGTTGACATCTTTAAACAATGAATATATGTCTTAATTCATTTTTTAAAGATGTCAATGACCTTGTCATGGGTTTTAACCGCAAGTTTTTCAAATCTCTTCTTGAATTATCTGTGCTAAACTAAATTTTTGTATTTGCTGGCAAGTTTTGCAGACAAATTGACAGTTTGGGCATGGGGCTTCCACTCGGCCCTACCTTTGCCAATATATTCATGTGTTTTCACGAGGCTACATGGTTGGCCAATTGTCTTCTGGATTTTAAGCCAGTTTTCTATAACCGATATGTTGATGAACCTTTTTTATTTTTAAGCATCCATCTTATGTGGGCCTTTTCTTTGACTATCTTAATCTCCAACATAAGTGTATCAAATTCACCATGGAGCTTGAATCAAATAATAACTTGTCTTTCCTTGATTGCAAAGTTACCAAATCTGATGGCCGTTTCCAAACTTCTGTTTTTAGAAAATCGACCTTTACCGGCTTAAGCACCAGCTTTTTTAGCTTTTGTTCCTTTCGTTTCAAATTAATTGGGATCCAAACATTGATAAGCCGCGGCTTTCGCATTTTCTCTACTTTTCTAACCATGCACTCTGAATTTGAATTGTTGCGCAATATCTTTTCGCAAAATGGCTTTCCATCGCACCTGGTGCTTACCCAAATTAAAAAGTTCATGTCCAAGCAATGTGCTGCAGTTGTTGCCAAGTGTGAAAATAGGAAAGTTGTTGACTATTCTTTTCCTCACTTTGGCCCCGCATCTGAGACTATGTCAAAGGAATTAAAAATATTATTTGCTAAATATCTTTCGGAAGTAAATCTTCATGTGTTGCTAGTTAACAATTTTAGAATCGGCTCGTTTTTTTCAGATTCAAGGATACCCTACCTATTCATATGCGATCGTCACTAGCTAACAGATATAGTTGTGCGCAGAGCGCATCAGCGTACGTCGGTGTGACGTCACGCAATTTCTATACTAGGCTGGCTGAGCAGGAGTTATAGAACGGGGATCCTACTTGCACATCCACCTCATTCTGCTGTACGTGTTCATGCCGAGCAGTGCAACACCTCTGTATCCGATAGTGATTTTAAAATTCTATAGCTTCCGCATCCGGTGTTACTGATCTACGCATTTTAGAATCCCTATATATATTCAAACCGAAGCCTGGTCTAAATGCTGCTTTTAGCTCCGTTCCTCTTGAAATAGTAAATATATAGGCCGTTTAATTGCAATAATTTCATGTCTTATTTATTTATTCTCCGTATTGAAACCTATCAGTGCCTTTCACCTTCTTAATTGATTGTATTTGTTTCTAGGACTGAACTTCCCCTGAACTGAATTTTGTGAATTGACGACGGAGCTGGACTCCGAAACGTTTTCTCTTATAAAGATATGGTGAATTTTTGTGTTATTGTTTTTGCTTTCAAATTCCTACATAAACTAAATTCCTGTCGCTGGACGACGCTGCGGTGCTAGAGAAACGAGCGTGTTTATAATATAAAATAAATAAAGCGATAAATTGTTATACAAAATTTACTTACATTATTTTTATGAACATGATTTGAAAATGAATGACTGGAATAGCCGATTAAATTTCAGACTGCTGTCATGTTTACGAAGAGAGCTTTACCCAACAGACTTTGTGAAGGAATGCCATAGGAGACAACTCATGTATGTGGCGGCTGACCGTGATGATGCACGCTCTTAATCAAGGCCTACTTCAAAAATACTTATTGCCATGTTCATTCTAGACTGTGCACAAAAACTCATCATTTTATTTCAATCGCCTTACTGCAATTTTTTTATTGGTTTCCTAATCGTTATATGGAGCATTACTATTTGTATTTTCTTGAAATCGCTAGAAATTGCACCCTCACGGGTTGCCATGTGTTCGTAAAATGTTCTGCACTAAAAGCCGTACTGTGTAAAAATAGCTCCGAAATGTCGCCACGATCTGAATTTTCTGCGTTCATTACCTAATCAATATTTCTATTGATAAGCAAATGGATTCTCATTCTATAAACTACACTTTAAAAATTTGCGAATTTTACACGAATCGTTTCAAACCAATGAATTTATGGCAAGTTAGGCAACAGGCGTTTCTTGTTTGATGGCTGTCACGAGCTGAACGTAAGTCATATTTTTTCTACTTTTTTTATGATGTATTTCAACTCGTATAAGCCTCAAAAACTCAAATGAGAAAAGAAATTACAGTCAAAAATATATTTCAGACGAATTTAAACAACATATATTATATACAGAATCGATGATAACCTGCAAATATGTGCAGATAAAAATAAATGTTAATATGATTAACAAAGCGTGATTCGATAGGCTTAACGCATGACCTAAGCAGAATGACTCGCCTAAGCAGAATGACTCGCCATATCGGTATAGAGAGTAACTCATACAGCACTGAAAATGTTATTTGGGATGAAAGATATCGTTGGCGCTCCAAGTATGAACGCGCTCAAGAACAGACTAGATAAAGCTATGGAAAAATATATGTTCAGATTTGAAATGCCTAGCTCCTTATCGAACCCGGTGGAAGTCTAGTAGCTACTTCAAACTATCGTCAGTCATGAAAAGATTCGGTCAAATGACACGAGTTTAGATCTATGAACAAGGCACGAAAAGGAAAAGAATCGGCGACAGGCCACATCAGGCCTACACTTCAGCGCCGACATCACTATGTTATGTTATGTTATAGCAGGCATTTTTGCCAGCCAAAGATAAACGTTAACAAGAAACATAAGACCTTGCATAACGTCTCTATTTTCTTCGATCTTGCCACTGTGTAGCGGATCTCGCTACATAGCACTAATGTTATGCATAACATATCACTAATTCTTATATTTTTCATACTAACATAATATAACTAATTTTTATGTTTCTTATACTAACATTAATATTAACACTCACAATACACATTAAAGTCGTACATTTTAAATCATATTAAATAATTATAACATCATCATATGAATTAAATTAATGTATTAAAATTAGCGTGTTTTCATAAATAGCTCACGTGGCTTTAGCTCATTTTTGAGATGTTGTCGTGAAATGTGAATAGCGTATTAACAAAGGCCTTATTTTTCGCAGCACTACATCATCTGTTTCCTGCAACGCATAAAATCAAGATCAAGCGAAATCTCCCGCCAGTAAATCCGATTATTCCGGCCAGCACATAGGCCAGCCTCGAGTCTTCGACATCGGCGTCAGTTGCTTGTCTTCCCGCCAACTCGGGCGCCGCCATCTTGGATCCTGCCGACGCGCACGCCGCCATCTTGGATCCCGCCGACGCTCATCCATGGATAATCAGTGAACTACTTAATCAACCTTAATCAGTGAACTACTTAATCAACCTTAATCAGTGAACTACTTAATCAACCTTAATCAGTGAACTACTTAACCAACCTTAATCAGTGAATTACTCAATCAACCTTAATCAGTGATCTCGTGATCAGCGAACTGCCTGATATTCAGTGAACGTATCTCTAGAACAATCAGTCTAGCAGTTCAGTGTCACTGCGACTCTCAATATCGTGCCCGGATGACTTCACCACGGTGTCTGAATTCGCCACGCAACCACGAGCACATCACTAAGCCAAGCACATCATCTTCATCGACACATCATCGAACAGGTCACGTGAGCTATGCCAAATAAACAGTCAAACATTTCAAAGATTCCTGGATGAAGCTCTTCGCGACCTACATGCGAATTCAAAAGATGGAAGTTCTCGTCCAGTCACCTTCTTCAACTACATCGACGACATCCTGATAGCATCAGACGACGATGAACAGCATTTAGAAGATATGCGTGCCTTGTTCACGCGTCTCACTCACCACGGTCTGAAGATCAACCCGCTGAAGTGCGAACTAGGCGCGTCGCAACTCGACTTCCTGGGACATCGTATAACAAGCGAAGGAATCACTCCCTTGCCAGAGAAAGTGAAGGCAATCCAGGATTTTCAGCGTCCTGAGAAGGCCAAGGGCCTTCGGCGTTTCTTAGGTATGCTAAATTTCTACAGGCGTTTCTTAAAACGCGCCGCGTCAACGCTTGCTCCTCTTTATGCCAAGTTAGCAGGCATTGCAAGCACCAAAAAAAACCCAACTCTGTCCTGGACATCTGCAGAAATCGAAGCATTCGAGCGTTCCAAGAGTTTACTGGCTGAAGCAACGATGTTGTCGCACCCAGCTCCCAGCACTGAAATGTGTATCGCCTGCGACGCTTCCAACACGGCTGTAGCAGCAGTACTCCAACAAACAGTCAACGGAATTACAAAACCTATTTCTTTCTTCAGTCGTTCTCTCACCTCAGCTCAGAGAAATTACTCAGTCTTCGGCAAAGAACTCCTTGCAATTTATCTTGCATTAAAGCAATTCAAATATTTGATACAAGGTGTCAACTTCTTCATACTTACTGATCACAAACCACTAATCGGTGCAGTCAAGAACCCTTCGCAGAGGGATAACCCGAGAGAAGTTCGTCAACTGCAATTCATCAGCTCCTTCACCTCGCGAATCAGTCACATCTCCGGCGACAGCAACGTAGTCGCCGATGCTCTATCACGCAGTCTGCCAGAAGATCCTGTTTCTGCAACCGACGACCAGCTCTTCATTTCCGCACTCTTCGTTCATGAAGATGAAGCTAACCTGGCGCTCGAACAAGAAAAGGACGAAGAACTCCAAGCTATACTAACAGGCAAGACTACAACATGCCTAACCCTAGTTCGTCGAGATGGCATAGTATGCGAATTCGATGGTAAAACTGCAAAACCGTACGTCCCCGCAAGCA